CTGATTAGAAGGCAGAGAATAAGGAAGCAGGGAGTTTATTTCAAGTATGGCCTCTTTACTCTTTCCACTTAAGTGGAAAACTAGCATATGAATGTATTCGCGATGGCTTTCACGGCCGGGATCTAATGGTTGTTGTGGGTTTTTTGGGCTCTTTGGCTGTGTTCTGAAGGTTGTTCTTCCTAACGTTTCGCCAGTCTCTGTGGCCGGCATCTTCAGAGCCCGAAAAACCCACAACCATCATTAGCATATGAATGTTTATTAGTTTGGTGAGCACACCCCAGAATGTGAATAAGAGAAACCTTATCCATTTGTTAAACATGTCTACAAAAACAGTAAAAAATTGTTTTAGTATTTTATTTATTTAAAGTATTTTTACCCCACCTTTCTCCTTAGCTCTTCATATATCTTTTCCAGCAGGGAACTGTTCCCTCTATTTCTAGTCCAACTCACCCAAATAGCTACAGTATTTCTTCGTTATTATTCTAACACACTAAAACTGATGTTTTTAGAAATGTTTTGCTTGTTCCTTTTTCTGCAGACTGCTGAAAATTCTGTAGCTGTGAATTCTTCATTAGATCACAGAGATTCTTAAAAGTACTTTGTTGTGATTTATTATTTGTTTAATAATAGTATTTGTGAATCACTTACACTAAACTTTTAAATATATACACAAATACTAGGGGGAAAAACTGTAATAAAATACCATTCAGAAGACTTTTATAAAATCCTGTATTATCTTTCTGGGAAAACTTTTGAAAGCAAGTGCATGTCTAATAGTTAACCCTTCTTGAATTTTTACTGGCAGGGAATTCAGAGAATGGGTGCTGTGATGGTAAGGGCCCTATTCTAAACCAATAAAGACTAGGCCTCCACAGGGAAACCACTCCTAATGCACTCAGCATCCTAAGAGAGATAGAGGGTCTGGCCATTTCCTGATGTTTTGGTTCATATGCTTTGCCAATTATTAGCAGAACCCTTAAACTTTTAACCTGATTTAGCAGGATATAGGCAGACAACACAGTTTTCTTAGCATACATCTAATATGCTGGGGATAAGCCATTCCACTTACCAATGTGTCTGTACCACTGTGCACAAGCTGCAGCTTCCAAACCAACATCAAGTGCAGCCCTACATAACGGTCATGGCAATATTCTAGTCTAGGAGCTACAAATGAAGAATAATCAAAATTCCCCTATCCAGGAATGACCAAAACAGTTTGATCAGCTGAAAAATGGAAAAAGAAACTCCTAACTCACTGAAGATATCAGTGGCTCCCTTGTAACAATGCTGGCTGGAGGATTCTGGGAGATGTAGTTCAAAAATAGTGTCAGAAAAGTAATATTTCACAAGCTTATTAGAATGCCCATCTCTTGCCATTATTTAAAGTTTTGTTTTATACTGGTAGAAACTGAAAAGATAGAGAAGGCAATTCAAAAACAAGAGACTGTGAGAGGAGGAACAGACTCCCTTTTCTTCCCGATAAGGACCCACATCTCCTTTTTTTCTATACCTAGGCTTTCTCTTTCCACTCTTAGTTTATGAGAACAAATCCTGTGGTTTTAACCCTATTTACATTTGTGTGTGATTTGGCTTAAGTGTTGCTTTGATAATTTTGGAAGAAACATCTCTGGGGTCATTGATGTTGTAAGACACAGCTTCCATTTTACAAGATGGTTGCGAAGTAAATTTGCATAGAATGCAATCTTTCGTGGCTTGTAGCAGCTATTCAGTGTGAAGCCATAACAATTTCTTGTTTCATAAGACTAATTTGTAAAAATTAAGTAATTTAGGAAAACCTCCACATAACAAGTTGTTGTTTACGGCAATAGAGCATTGGAGTACAGTAAATAATGCACCACTAGGTTTAAAAAGTAGTGTGTCTAATAATCAGCAGCAGCAGCATTTTGTGTTTGGCATTATGTTTTGTGGGTGAATAAGAAAAAAAAAAGACTTACAGCACCTTTAAGAGAAACTGATTTATTACTGCAGATATGTTTATGGCCCACTGGGCACTTTTTGTTTTTCTTCCAGACTAAACCAATTCCCTTCCTTAATGTGGAATAAGTTGTTTTTGTTGTGATCTCTTTTGCGGCATTCAGACAGTCCATAATTTAAATCCAGTACCTTGACAAGCAGGGTGGGAGAATCATTCATTCTAAAATGGGTTAAAATCCATCACATTTTTTGAAGCCCGCATTCTGAGATGGGTGTGGGTGTGTTAAGTTCAGGATCTGTCTTCCACGAATAGAAAAGCTGTACAGCCTCCTCTCAGTTCCTTTCCTAGCCCCTGCACCACAGATCATCCCATTCCACAGGGTCCCCAGCCCAGTGTGTAGCTTTTCCAAGGAGGAAGAGTGATTGGGCAAGTCTGCTGCCCAAATGCACAGTGTGTACTAGGAAATACTGTGAAATAGTACTATGAATATATTGGCAAAGGCTTTCACAGCTGGGATCTAATGGTTATTGTGGGTTTTTCGGGCTCTTTGGCCGTGTTCTGAAGGTTGTTCTTCCTAACGTTTCGCCAGTCTTTGTGGCCGGCATCTTCAGAGGACAGTACTCTGACAGTGTTGTCCTCTGAAGACGCCGGCTACAGAGACTGGCGAAACGTTAGAAAGAACTACCTTCAGAACACAGCCAAAGAGCCGGAAAAACCCACAACAACCAGTACTATGAATGTTAGCATATTTCTGACTTCCCCTCTTCACCAAACTGTCTTTATTTGATTGAACATTGTTTGAAGTATGTTCTCATACCAGAAGAGGTGAGTGCACCTGGAAATTACTTCCTGTATGTGACAAAGCAATATCAGGTGAGCGGCCATTTAGCTGACTCATGGGTTGTACTGCTGGTTTCTTATGAGAGCGTTCAGGGAATTCCCATCTGAGAAAATCTTTCTTTGCCCTGAGGAGGAAGACTGTACAAAAAAAAAACCAACCCCTGACCTTTTAAAAAGGATGACACGTGCTGTACACTATGTGATCTGGCAACTAAGACTCCAGGATGGAGAACTGGGATTTCTGCAAATTCTTCCTTGCTTATTTGGCTATGTTGCAATTTGATTCCGATAAGTTAACCATTAAATCCCCACGGGTTGCATGTAATTTTGCTACATTTTTGCATAGCATCTACATACAAATGCACATCTACTCCCCAGGTTCTAACCATGTGAATGTGTCTGGGCCTCAGTTGATCCTGAGATCTGACTGTGTACTCTTTCATCTCTACAGATCTCCTGAATCACCTACAGTGGGGTCTTGACTTGAGAACTTAATCCGTATTGGAAGGCGGTTCTCAAGTCAAAAAGTTCTCAGGTCAAATCTGCATTTCCCATAGGAATGCATTGAAAACCATTTGATCCGTATCTGCTCTTTTCCGTCCATAGAAACTAATGGGAAGCTGCTATTCTGCCTTTGACCACTAGAGGGGGATATTTTGTTTCTTTTTTTCTTAGGTCAAGAAAGGTTCAGGGAAGGCAGGGAAAATACAGTCCAGGCAGTACCAGGCAGTCTGAAGACTGTCTCCCAATCCACTCTCTAAACGCTGGGAGGAGTGAGGAAGCAGACAGGCACCCTTTTCACTGGCCAACAGTTAACTGAAAGTTCACATTTTGCACGTTCCCTGCCTCCCACGTGGTTTTTTTTCAGTTCTTAACTCAAATCTAAGTATGTAAGTCAAGTCAATATTTTCCTATGAGAGGGGTTCTTAAGTCAAAATGTTCTTAACTCAAGCCGTTCTTAAGTCAAGACCCCACTGTATTCCTTTTTTTACTGTGGGTGTGTCTCCTCCCAAAATTCAAATACAGTATTGTGGGGGGACTTTGCCCTCCTTTTTCATCTATCAAGATATATGCACTTATGATCGTGACTGTAGCTGTTTTAGAATTCCTAATTGCTGCCAGTTTTGAGATACTGTTAGCAAACAGGGGAGGAAGCCACCTTCTCACCAATGCAAAGGGTGTGAGATAACACACTTCATAGTGTAAAATTGAGTTTGCAAGAATCTATCTACAGGGCCTGTGAATCATTCCTTCCCACCTTCTGTTGCTCTGCCTCCCCTGTTACTTCTCTATAGTCCAAGAGACCTCAAAGTGTGAGGTAACACACTATGCTATATTGTTACAGCTGCAAAAAATGCAAATACTATTTTAGGCTGCATTAACAAAAATATACAGTGGTGCCTTGATTGACGAGGATAATCTGTTCCAGCAAAATCGCTGTAGAATGAAATCATCATCAAGCGAAAGTAAAAATCCAATTGAAATACATTGAAAACCAGTTCAATGCATTCCAATGGGCGAAATACCTCAGAGTCCAGTGAAGATCCTCTATAGGGTGGCTATGTTACCGTGCCTGTAATGCAAGGAATCTGTCCTAAAGCACAGCGGGGAGCCATTTTGCACAGAGGGTGGCCATTTTGAAGACCCGATGATCAGCTGTTTTGATAGTCGTTAAGCAAAAAATCGGTTCCCGAAGCAGGGAACCGATCGTCCTAAAGCGTTTTTCCCTATTAATTGTAGCCTTGTAGTTCTTTATCAGACACCTTTATTTCCAACTGGCATTTATCCCATTTAGAGTTAATTCTAGAATGAATCCAGATAACCATTTCCAGTCCTATTAAAAGTCATCTGGGTATCAAGGTAAATGTTGCTTTATTGTTGCAATGATTCCAGGCAACATCAGTGTGTCTATTTGTACAAACTTTATTCATCTACATTGCATCTTTGTTCCATATACATAAAATGAAATTTGTTCCATATGCATAAAATGAAATCCAAAAAGTAGAAATTCAAGATATACTGAAAACATTCTGACAGCTATGAGAAAAACTGTAGGCACATATGTTTCAATGGAAATCCATTCTTGCAATTTTTGAAAAGTGGCAAGTGTGATTACCAACAAAAATTATTTCAGCTATGGAAATTTGCAAATAAAAAATAATCAAAAACCAAAACTTAAATTGCAGGCAATACTAAAGTTAGAAAACTTTAGTATTGCCTGCAAGAGAATAATGGAGTTGAAAGGTTACAGCCTTTCAACTCCATTAGTCTATTATTTTGAACAGATCCATGTGATGGCTATAACCTTCTACAAGCTGATTTTGCAAGCAGAGGTCCATGCAAACTTTTCCCTCATATTCCTGTAAATATTTTTCCCAAGCTAGAAATGGGTGACAGGTTTGTTTCATTCAGTTGGTTTTTAACAAGGATTTTCATCCAAATTTGCACAGTGGAGGTTGGCCTATTAGGGGAAGTGTGGAATTGCAATGCATTTTCCCTGGTTACCTCCAACCACCCCATTCCTGACCATCATCTTTTTTGTCAGTCCTTGGGATGCCATTAGCTTTCTAAGTAGTCAGTCTTGCACTCTTTTCTTTGCAGAACTCAGTGGCCATGTCTCTGCTTACAAAGCCTCACAAGCATGTAGCAATTTTTCTTTTAAGGATGTACTTCTTCGCTGAGGTATCTTGAACTGCAGATAAGCAACAGGGAAGGGGGAGCAACAGAAGGTGGGAAGGAAATACTCTGAGGCCTTGTTGAGAGATTCTTGCAAAATCAGTTGACCAGTTAGGGTCAGTGCCATTCACAAAGAGACCCCATGCAAGAGAAAATCCCAGAAGCTGACTCCTTTTTTCATCAGTTAAACACTTCTAATCCAAACACAAATAGTCAGGCCTGTTTTTCAACAAATGTGAATGGCAGTGAGCACAAAGGGTATCCTGTAGACCAAAGTTCTCCAAACTTTTAACACAAAGGGCCACATAATACACTTGCAATATTTTCAAGGGCCAAAGGAATGCATGTGTGCACTCCCACCCACCGCACTCCCACACACACACCCCCGCATGCATGCCTGGCTGCACACACTCCCGCCTGCCTGACTGCATGCACACCCGCATGCCTGCACGCACTCCCGCCTCCCCACTCACCAGCAAGCACTACTGTCCATATGCCTGCACTCATGCACACTCACACAGACAGACAGGCTGGAGAAAAAGATCAGGTGGGCCGGATGTGGCCCGTGGGCCGTAGTTTGGAGACCCTTGCTGTAGACAAGCTTAACTGCTGCCATTGGTTTTGTCAACATCCAGGCTGCCCTTTGCTTTATAAAGCTTGGCACCTTTTTTCTTGCTGGCAGTGTGCGTGCTGTATTGTGTAGCAATACTGGGCCATTTCTTGACTTTTGGAATCTTGGGTACAGAAGCACCATATCCCACATTCATAAACCCTAGTTGTTTTTAAAGAATTGAATTTCCCGGCTTTTTCAAATGGAAGTTTCAGTATACATAAACTGCACTCAAATTCCAACAAAACTTCCCTCATATAAAACTACCCAGTGCTAGAAGATCTCAGAAGATAATCACATTACCTTTACTATGATTGCTGTGGGAAGACAGAAGCAAGAACACATGGAATATGGTTAATTTAAAGGACTGTTTTGGACTTAATGAAATGGTGAAGCAAAGTGTGAGTAAGTACAACACATACAGTGAAGAAACGTACACACTGTTTAACTTCTCAGGTAAACTAATACCTGCTCTTTAGAATGCAGACTAGAAGGCTATCTTCAGATTTACAAACTCTTTCCTTGGGTAGGCAACCTGAGGAAGAAAATCTATATTGGATCAAAAGCTCTGTGAACATGTTGTGTGCACATTTTCCTAAAGATGTCCCCTCGCCTTTTGAAATTAAAAAAGAGAGAGAGGTTAGAGCAAAAATTGTCACTGGAAACCAAGGTCAAAGTCATCCATACTATGTGAAAGAAAGACAGGTACAAAATCAACTACAGTGGTGCCTCACTTTACGATTGCCCTGTATTATGATGAATCCGCTTTACGACGATCTTTTTGCGATTGCAATTGCGATCGCAAAACGATGGTCTAAATGGGGGAATTTCGCTTTGCGATGATC